TCTTAGTTGGGTTTAACCTGCTTAGGTTCTTTTGAATGAAGTCATGAGATACACTTACTAGTTGACAACTGTTTGGGGTTACCCCTTTATTGGTATAGTATGTTTGAAACTTATCAGAGTCTGTTTTAAAGGTATTTGATGCAGCTGGTAGTTTACTTACTAGTGTTGATGCAACAGATGTGTAGTAGGAATTAAAGCAATTTGCCGCCTTAGATGTTTCGTGGCATACCTCATTATCGATAGTGAGTACTATGTTAGACCTATCTACTGGTTTATGGCTATACCCCAACTGTTTTAGTTGTTGCCAGAGCTTTCTGGGGTTATGCTAAGCAATAGTGCTTAGCCTTTGCTCCTTTTATAAGTCTCTGTACTCTGTTCCTCACCCTTTGGAATTCATTTAGTGCTGCAATATCCTGTCTGTTGGCTTTAATCTTTTTAGCAGCTGGTCTCTGAATTTCATATTATCTAATATCTCAGTAGTCATCCAGGGTTCAGTTCTTCGTTTAATCCTAACCTCTTTAACTGGTGCAATATTATCAAGGATGGTAGTGAACATTGTTTTGAATTTTTTCCCAGGCATCGTTTACGTTTCCCTGCAACTTGTTATCTCTGTCCAGTCACAATTGTGTAGCCTATTTACCAGTGTTTCTTTACTGTAGTTTCTAGTTGACCTCATATTTATTGTCCTGTGTTGGCCTATCCTATCCCTAGTGATTTTCCTGGTGCAGTAAATGATGAAATGATCACTAAGACCTGTGGTAATGACGCCTGACTGACTAATGTTCTCAGAGCGGTTACAAAGTATGTGGTCAATTAGGGTGGCTGAGAACTGTGTGATCCGGGTTGGTGTATTAATTAGTTGAGTGTAGCTATTTAATCCTAGAATTTGCTTATACCTTTTGCATAGCCCGTTATTTTGCTGCTGAAAACAGATATTGAAGTCGCCCAGTATTATTGTCTCGCAATTGTTTTCAACTCCGGACAAGACTTTGGAAAAGTCTTCTAAGAACTGGTCCTGGGTAGGAGGGCAGTAACTAGTTCTTACTAAGATGGGTTTGGTCTTGGGAAGCAGCACTTCAAACCATAGAATCTCCAGTTTATTGTTATTTAAATCAGGTCTTGGGTTGTAAGCTAAGTCATTTCTAATGTAGGCACATACTCCACCACCCTTTTTGTTTCTATCTAAGCATTTTATATTGTAACCTTCTATTTTGACCTCGTCGTCAGTCACCGTATCATCCAACCAAGATTCAGAGATGGTTATAACTGCCGCCCTAATTTTGTTAGATAGAATCCTAATCTCTGCCAATTTAGGAAGAAGTGATCTTGCATTGACATGAATAAAGTGAAGTCCTGTTTTCATAAAACAATCATAATCATCAATATATGGCAATGGGTCATTTGTATTAAAATTAGGTAAATCAATGTCATCACTGCTAAAGGGTAACTGTGCCAAAGTGCATTTGTTACACACAAAATGAATTCTGGCACCGTTGCTATAATTGTACATACATCCATCATGCACCAACCCCTTACACATTTTACATAAGGTGCCTTTTCTGTTTTTCATGCGTACTTTAGTAGTGTATGCACCTGTTTGTTAGTGTTTGAGATAATAATGGCTGTATTGTCTCACATTGACCTATGTATGCATTACATATGGAGTTAAGGTTATCATTCCTAGCTACTAGACCGTCATTATCACCGTCATTTATCTGTCTGTTTTGCCTCTGCACAATAGTTTGAGGTCCTGGATTAATTTGGATATCACCACTTAAGAGCGCTACAATAAGAGCTGTAGACCTACCTAGAGGTCGTTCCGAGGGTCAATGCCCCCTGCAGACCAGCCTCCTGGTGGATTAAGGCCTGATTAACTAGGCTGTTACTGATGGCCGCACGCAATCTAAGGTACGAACCACAGCCCGGCTGATAAGGTTCTGAATTTAGCTATCTGTCCAGTTCCTTCTTGAAGACAACCAGGGTCTATTATTAATTCCTCTTATACATAGTGGAAGGTTGTTGAACAGTCTTGGAACACAGATGCTTATTGTACTTATGGCACCCCTGCTTTTCACTGGGACTATATTGCACCATCTACCTTGTCTTGCTTTTATAGGGAGTGATTTCTGTGTGCAAATTTGGGACCAATCCCTCTGTACTTTCCAAGTGTAGATTATGATGCATCTCTAGCCTGTGTTCTAGGGAGTATAGGTCAAGCAACTCCAAATGTTCTCAGTAATCAAGGTGCTTGATTGAACTTATATATGCAGTGAAGGTTCTTTGTACGTTCAATAGGTCTGAGATTTCACCAGCCTTGAATGGGGCTGTTAGTGTACAAGAACACTGTCATCTACAAACAGGGATTGTGGCAACTACCACTCTGTATCAGGTTCATAATGTTCAAGACCACACATCTTCCTAACACTAGCATTCATTTCACTTACATCAAGCATCATTGTCAAAGGCCCAGTTTTATGGGAGAACATTTTTTTTTTTTTACATATCTTTATTTCTACAAGTACATGTACATGGTATACTGTGACCCGTGGCCTGGTGGCTAAAGCTCTTGCTTCACACGGTGAGGATCTGGGTTCGATTCCCAGTGAGGGTAGAAACACTGGGCATATTTCTTTACATTGGTTGCCTATGTTCCCCATCAGTAAAATGGGTACCTGGGAGTTAGTCGACTGGTGTGGGTTGCATCCTGGGACAAAACTGACCTAATTTACCTGAAATGCTCTGCATAACAAGTGACTTTCTATATACAGTGGAACCTCAAATATCGAACTTTCTTCGGTCCAGAAGGCTGTTCGAGTGCCTTTACCGTATGAATTTATTCCCATCAGGAATAATGTAAGTTAGATTAGTCCATTTCAGACCCTCAAAAATACACTTATAAAAGCACTTACAAAAATACACTTACAAAAATACACTTACATAATTGGTTGTGTTGGGAGCAGTTCGATTTTTGAGGTTCCACTCTACAGTAGTAGTATGTCATTGATGTCAGCTAGGCCTGTATACCTTGTACATGTATTTGTAAAAATAAAATTATTATTATTAGTATTATTATTATATAGGCCTATCTGACATCAGTGACATACTATTATATAGAAAGCTGTTTTGTTATGCAGAGCGTTTCGGGCAAATTAGGTCAGTTTTGTCCCGGGATGTGACCCACACCAGTCGACTAACACCCAGGTACCCATTTTATGCTGATGGGTGAACATAGACAACCAGTGTAAGGAAACATGCCCAATGTTTCAACCCTCGCCGGGAATCAAACCCAGACCTCACCATGTGAAGCGAGAGCTTTTGCCACCAGGCCCAAGGCCTGTGGCTTCCAATTAAAAGATTGCAACATTTGCAATATATCAATTCCTAATCAATCATCATATGCCTTTCTCTAAAATAATTACTGCAAAATAAAAAGGCACAATACCATGGCTAGAGCAATACACAAAGAACCCATGAACAGGAAATTAAAACTTATGATGACATTCTGGTTTGACTAGGACCATTGACTAGTTACACTAGTTAATGGTCCAAGCTGGACCAAAATGATGTCATAAGTTTCAGTCTTCTATGTGCAGGTTATTTGTGTATTACTGCAGCTGTTTACCCTTATGTAAGTGCTGTTCATATATGCATCAGTACAAACCTTGTTCCACACATCCTTTCACTTCTTACAACCATTGACCTTCTGCAATCATATTTTATGTCCTTCCCATCAATCTAAACAATAATAAATCTGCCTTAACTGAAGATCACTGAATCATTTTGAAATAAGAAGTCATACTTTTAAAATTGTACCATTTGTTCATTAGCTACCTTTCTTACTGTGCAATTAATTGTTGTTAACTGCACTAGGATTAGTTTGCCTGAAATGCATTGTATACTAGTGGTTTTCTTTTGTGCTTAACAATGTTTTATTACATGTAAACTACATTGTCTTTGTGCATTAAAAGAAATAAAAATCTGAATTTCAATACATGTATATACTTTCCATGTTTCCTTGATAGTCTAATTCTTCTGCAAGTACAGTATTAGGCTCTTTTCCTTGTGTCTTTTATACAAAGGAACTATAGATGTTCTTTACCAATCATTGGGTACCTCTTCTTTTTTTCATACTTACATATATGTACATGTATTGAACAAATGCACTAGTCATTCTAGCATTTTATCCCTACCTGCTTAAAGCATTTCAGTCTTAGAATCCCATTCATCCTTGCTGTTTTTCCCACTATCAATCTACTTACTGCTTCACTTACTTCTACTTCTTCACTTAAGCAAAAAGAGTATTATATTCATGGGGAAATAATGCAAACATGCTTGATTCTTTCCTGCCCTGTGTACGAAATTTCTACTTACATTTCAAAATATTCTCATCTCTTTAACACCTCTACCCTCTTAATAGGTATCTCATCACTTTCACTTTTACCAGACAATTACACTTATTTGCTTATATTTTTAATCCCTCTACTCTATATAGTACTCTGCCTTTCTAGTAACACTATAATTCCACTAACCTTTCTATTTATCACCTACATGTATCCTCCTGTAACCACATACCTCTTTTGCACAAGCATAGCATTCTTAATTATAATCATGGAGGAGCGCTAAACCCATAGGATTATACAGCGCATCTGGGGGGAGGGGGATGGAAGGTATTCAGGTTCAATTCAGGGAACCAGAGCACAGATCCAATTCTCTAGATCAAGAGCCCCTCACCAGCATCAAGGAACCTCCTTTGAGGGGACAGCATTCTTAAATCCACACCACACCTTTTCAGCATCCTTATCACTCTCATTCTGCCTAACCTTTCTTCAAACACTTGCTTATACCCTTCATTGACAATCCTTATCTTTTAATTCATTAACCTTCACTTCTCTTTTACCTTCTGGCACCATTCTTTATTCCACTTTTCTTATTAATCTACCACTAGTGACTCAACATTAGTTTTTCCTCTAAAATCATGTACACTACATTCAAAAACTTACCTCTCAATTTAGTATCCACTTGTACAGGGAGGCCCTTTAGACTGCATGCAGCATTTTATGATTTCTCTGAATTTTAAGAAACGAGTTATGCGGTGGCATTTTTCATGATCTACGATGTGTGCTCAAGCAGCCTCTTGCCTTGTCGGTCAGTATAGTATCTGTGTTTCTCCTAAAAAATAAAGTTTGAGTAATGTTGAATAATTAATTTATGGTAAGCACTTTACCTGAAAGTGTCATACAAGAATAATGCTGACGAACACCAAAAGTAATGATAAAGACATGTAATTTCTACTATCCACAATAGTCTGAGGCTTGTTCTCTGCACTAGCTTATAGTCCAGCAAGCTGCTCTCATTGCTCATTGCATCACACATCATATACTTATTTCCTTATAGAGACATGTATTTCTTATTCCCAAGCCTCTTTCTTAGTAAACTTTAGTTAAAGTTCTCCATGTTATTTGTACCTAGCACACAAACCTTTTCCACACTTTCCACATTATCTCAATTTTCTATAAATTCTTCAGAAATAATTCTTCTAAAACTTATGAAGAAAACAGTTTCATTGTCATTCTTTCAATCACTGTCTTGCCAGAAGGGTGCCGATATTGCAGTTCAGATGACCCTCCTAACCACAACCTCCCCAGTGCAGAGTGCCGGCACTGTACTTCCTACCTCCAGGATTCAAGTTTGGCTAACTGGTTTCCATGAATCCCTTCCCATCATAAATATTACCTTGCTCACACTCTAACTGCATGTCAAAACATAAAAACCACTTGCCTCCACTCACTCCTATTTAACATGCTCACACAAGCCTGTTGGATGTCCATGCCCCAAGCACTCAAAATGTCCTTTACCTCCTCCCTCCAGCCTTTCCTAAAATGACCCCTACTCCTCCTTCCCTTCACGCCAGATTGATAAGCCCTTCTAGCCATCCTTTTTTCTCCATCTTCTTTGAATGTCCAAACCACCTCAACAATCCCTCCTCAGCCCTCTGAATAATACCCTTGATAGCTCCACACCACCTCCTAACTCAAAATTCTCTGTATAATATTCACACCACACACTGCCCTCAAACAACATCTCTACTGCTTTCACATATCCCAAAACCTCTCTGTACACTCCTCCCCTCTCCTCTCTAGGATCATGAATGCTGACCATTACTCACTTCTCACATTTAAGCCCTGCTTTTCTTCCCACAATTTTTTGATAAACATAACCATTAGGCCTTCCTTAGCTCTCTCTTGGCTACACCTAACCTAATTCTTTTAATTTCTTCCCATTCAAACTCTACAATCCTTTTTAAGTTTATCTCCTTTAATTTTAGGACATCCAACTTCTTTTGTCATAACACAATCATTCATTTCTTAATTAACATTTGCACATTCAAACAACTCATCTTCAAAATTAATAGCCCTGTATTCCAGGTATTTTAACTGTCTTCTATGACATGTATAGATATGGTGGAAGGATTCTAGCCTGCTCTTCTTAGGGTGTAAGGATAAGTGTAAATATATTTAATAAAAGTGGAACTTTATAAGGTTTTTCCTGCCATCTTAAATTGTAGTTTTCCAACTAAAAATCTTTAATTTTAATAAGTAGAACATTTTTCTTCATTCAACAAACCAGCCATATCCCACCAAGGCAGGGTGGCCCAAAAAGAAAAACAAAAGTTTCTCTTTTTAAATTTAGTAATATATACAGGAGGAATTACTGGTCCCTTGCTCTCGGCATTTTAGTCGCCTTTTACAACACGCATGGCTTACGGAGGAAGAATTCTGTTCCACTTCCCCATGGAAAAGTAGAACATATAAGAACTAAACAGTCCTTACACAGTAAAGGCAACATATGGTCTAACAACAAATTTAGATATAAGTAGACATATGAGAAAACCATCACATAGAGTGACACAAATTAGTAAATTTCACAGCATGATGTACATAGTAGTCTCAGAACTGGAGAGGCTTCTGTGTAGATATCATGTCAACTCTAGAGAAAAGAATCATTATTATAATTATTTGGTAGCTGAAATAGGTAAATGGGCATTTTCTTGTACTCAATTGACAAAATAGAAGGAATACTAGCAAAATAGCTATGACTTTGGTCGGTGGAACAATGGAATTAGCCAAAATTAGGGTGTAAAGTGGGTGAAATCGTTGTGTAAATATCACCGAAACCACTAACTTTGCGAGAGCATAATTCTGTAAGTTTTTCATCAGATTTCATACTTTCGGTTTCATTACCTTCGGAAAAATATTCTCTGTCATTTCATAAGATAAAATAATTTTTTTTTTATATTCTTCGACAATGGGAGCAAGTTTGCAAGCAGAGGTCATGACAGTGAAAAGGTTAACCAACTTGTACTGATATATGGAGTATTTTTAAAGGTAAGTAAAGTAAAAGGACACAAGTGCAACTAATGTGACATTTATTGTGGCAACGTTTCGCTCTCCAGGAGCGTGATAAAGCTCCTGGAGAGCGAAACGTTGCCACAATAAATGTCACATTAGTTGCACTTGTGTCCTTTTACTTTACATTCTTCTTCTTCTTTCAACGTACCAGCCGTATCCCACTGAGGTGGGGTGGCCCAAAAGAAAAAACTGAAGTTTCTCCTTTTAAATTTAGTAATATATACAGGAGAAGGGGTTACTAGCCCCTTGCTCCTGGCATTTTAGTCGCCTCTTACGACACGCATGGCTTACAGAGGAAGAATTCTGTTCCACTTCCCCATGGAGATAAGAGGAAATAAACAAGAACAAGAATTAGAAAGAAAATAGAAGAAAACCCAGAGGGGTGTGTATATATATGCTTGTACATGTATGTGTAGTGTGACCTAAGTGTAAGTAGAAGTAGCAAGACTTACCTGTAATCTTGCATATTTATGAGACAGACAAAAGACACCAGCAATCCTACCATCATGTAAAACAATTACAGGCTTTCATTTTACACTCACTTGGCAGGACGGTAGTACCTCCCTGGGCGGTTGCTGTCTACCAACCTACTACCTACTTTACTTTACATATTGTCGGTAATTCTACCAACTTTATTACACTATTTTAAAGGTAGCATGAGGTGGTTAGCTGTTGGGCTGTAATGTGGCAAAATCACTAATCCGGCACACTACAGGTCTCGATGATGCCGAATTAGTGATGGTCAACCTGTATCTTAGTGAAAAATGATGAAATTAAAGCAAAACATTGCAGTAACTTTCATATTTGTATTGAAAATACCATATTGTACTGTACAGTATACATAATTATTTCTGTATGACTTACAATTATATACTCTATTTCTAAACCAATCAGAAATATATAGTTTACAACAAAGAAAAGTGTTAGCAATATCTCATTTATTCGGAAATCTATTATTATACAGCAGTTGGAATTCTTCCAACACAGAAAAATATATTTTGTATTCAGTTATTAGAATTCTGAAATTTCTAATGAGAATAAAATTTCACATATAAATGTGGAAAATCTTATTCAGAATTTCCCAATAAGAAAATGTTTCCTGAAATTCCAAATTCAGAAAATCTCCACTTACTGTATTAGAAAATTATAGAATTTTAACTTAAAAAATCTCCAAATCAGACTTTTTTTTTTTAATAAGAGAACATATACATAATGTTTATTTAGTAATTATATTTAAATTTTCTGCCAATATCAGTTTGGAGGGATATGTTGTGTATCTTTATATGTGTATGCTTCTAGACTGTTGTATTCTGAGCACCTCTGCAAAAACAGTGATAATGTGCGAGTGTGGTGAAAGTGTTGAATGATGATGAAAGTATTTTCTTTTTGGGGATTTTCTTTCTTTTTTGGGTCACCCTGCCTCGGTGGGAGACGGCCGACTTGTTGAAAAAAAAAAAAAAAAAAAATTTAAATTTTAATTTTCTCAGTATCAGCATAAAAAAAATTAAATTACATAAAAAAAAATTTCATTTTTGTCTGAGTGTGAGGTGTTAAATTATTGACACAGGACACCCACACACATGCATTATTTCAAATGAGAAAAATAGTGTATTACTGTATTAACAAAATTAGAGGACACTCAATTCCTTACAATTCATAAATAGAGTAGGGCCCTAGCTTACGAAGGATTTGCATTCCCAGTGTTTAAACTTGCCAACAAGTCATTTGTAACCCTGAAACTATTATCCTCTAGAAAATGATAGTAAAGAGTATAGTTCTGTGTCATATGTGTTCGTAACTGCGGATCGAAACTCGTAAAACAATTATTTTGTCAACATTACGTCTTGTGGACCTCTTTCATATATTGGATCACCACAAGTTGGAATATTATAAGCTGGGGCCCAATGTATTAGCACACCTTAGGAAGGAGTAATGTACAAAAAGTGAGCACTAAAATCATAATAAACAGAATTCTACATGAAAAAACCCTTCAAGTATTCAATAAACAATACTAACAATAATGTGGCAGAGTTCACAACACTGTAACAGGAATGACCACTTAAAAGTACCAAATTTGTCAAAAAATGTTTTAATATTCAGCAAACTGAAATGAAATAAAAACAGTATGTATGTACTTTTATAATTACAAACTGCTCGATTTTTAAGTAAAATGTTAATGAATCTTGCATTATTGCATTATTAAACAATTTTTTTTCTACTTACGTTACTTAATATAAGTACAGTATGTATGTGCAATGTAGAATACTGAGCGTCCCTATAAAATAATTTAGAAATATTACAGATGCTTCAGTAACAAATTACAGATTTTTTTTTTTTTTTTTCAACAAGTCGGCCGTCTCCCACCGAGGCAGGGTGACCCAAAAAAGAAAGAAAATCCTCAAAAAGAAAATACTTTCATCATCATTCAACACTTTCACGACACTCACACATTATCACTGCTTTTGCAGAGGTGCTCAGAATACAACAGTTTAGAAGCATATACATATAAAGATACACAACATACCCCTCCAAACTGCCAATATCCCAAACCCCTCCTTTAAAGTGCAGGCATTGTACTATTAATAAACAGGTCACCCCCCATTTTAATGACTTCTTGTTTAATGAGAAATTTTAAACTATTATTATTATACTCATAACTAAGCACCAAACCCATAAGGTTCATACAGAAATTGTTTAACAAGTAATACATTTGAGAACAATCATTGGAAACTATGGGTTGCAGGATGTACAGTATGTAAAAAGATTAACTGATGTAGTGTCAAATGTCATAAGATGGAGTAGAATATGATGTTTAAGAGGATATATAAACTGGGGGGTGGAGAAACGAAAGGGCAGAGGTCATCCCAGGAAGGGTTGGAGGAAGGGGTAAAAGTGGTTTTGTGTGCTAAAGCCTTGAACATCCAATAGGCTTGTGTGAGTGTACCATTAGATTAGAGTGGAATTAAGTGACTTCTAAGACTTGAACTGTAAAAAAAGGTAAGCGTTTCTAGTGTCATACAAGGGAGGATATTCAATAACACTCTGGCTATCAAAATGCAACAATGCTATTGCAGGAAGACACATCTGTATTTATTATTCCTGATAGCAGGGGTGCTATATAAACACATTTTATTTTTATGAAACCAGAATATAAAACATGTACAAATGAGCAGAAACATATTTGAATCAGATGAAAGTTGTGAATCATGGCAAAAGATTTTTATGCTTACTTTGCTCAAGGAATAACTATCATGCACACAAATAATCAACCCATTTATGTGTATGAAGTAATTACTTTAATACAGTACTTGTTAAAAAAAATTTTATACTGTGGGTACAGTATTATACTATGGAGTATACATGCTACTGTGTATTTAAGTGTTAGGGAAATTTGCATCACCTACATTTCTAGGTTTCAGAATCAAGTTATTCACTACAGCACTTAACATTTTCACTCATTTCAACAGCTTTGGCATCTGGTGATATAACCAAGAGGGCACTGACAAATATCTGGTTTGAGTTGTATGCTTACAAAGCCAACAGCCTGTTACTAAAACTGTCTTATTTGAGCAATCACTTAGAACTAAAGTTAAACAGCATACAGATGTGACACATATTACTCAAACATAGCAGTAATTAGAATTTATTATAGTATAATCATAAGTATCTCTCTTCATTCCACTATCACATTGAACATGACTTAAGTCTTTATACAGTATTCTCGAAATTCAACTGCACATCATTGCACCCAGATCAAAGTCACCACATCACAACTACAAGTCAATATGTACCTCAGCCATAAAAGATGGTGGGTTAAGAAAACTGTAATTCACTTAGGATAAATTCCATCTTTATATTTTCATATCTGACAAACTCATTAAATATGCTAAAGAGCATTTCTAGTACATGCTCTACAATAACCATGTTTACTCTCCACTCACTGCAGACACTTGTAATTCGACATTACTATTCAGTACATATATCCCAGCACACTTCTCCCATCCCTCAATGATCCATCTATAAATTCTTTCATTTACAATTCTTAGAGAATGAAGTTTTAAAAATTTCTAGAGCAGGTAAAAAAAAAATGTTCTATATTATGCTAATTACAGAAAATTATTTCAAGCCATTTAACTTTCACATTAAAAGAGAGAAACTTCATCACATTCTAAATTTCATATCATGCACTTACGACTTACCCTTCTGGAAAAAATGCATTACCAATGGAAATACCACACGAACGTAGTAATGGGCCAAGTGTGTTTAAATATAAGTGAACTTAGCAGTGCAATGTGCCAAACAGTTTCATGTATGAATGAGCCTTTTAAAGCACCAAATGGATTTAAATAAAAACAAATCTAGTTATGCACAAAAATATTCTAAATAAGATTACCTTATACTACTTTCTCGGCTACAGTATTATTAGCCCTTTCACAGTCTCCCATGTAGATCTACATCACTGATGTCAGTGTCACTTACATAGATCTATGTCTTAAGCATAGCTTCCTCAATTATGTTGTGATTGGTAAATTTTGACCTTCACATGAGAGAATGGATCTGTGCTGTGGGTCAGCACAGTATGTATAAAAAAGAATTCTGCCCCATGCAGTGCATGATGTGAACAGCTAAACTCTGCCCTTGTGTTTGGTTTAAAATATTGACTTTGAAGCATGTTCTAGGATGATTTTCAATTTTTTATTGCCTGAAAGTTTGGTGGTATCAACTGATACACTAAAAGACATAATAGTTAAATAGAGATGATTTTGATCAGTTTCAGACAAAGTGGCTTGAAATAGGCCTCAAAGTGGTGGAAATACAGTAGAAACCATTAAGTCGCACGATCATTACTAGCATTTTCAATATTATGCTATTGAAATTTAAGTTTTCATTTCTTATAGAAGCGCACCCACTTACATCAAGGCATGCGGGAGTGGAATTCATTTCTATTCATGGCATGCATTTCTGTTAAGAAGTGCTGGAGCAAAATTCATTGCCACTGGAAGCATGCATTTCATGGCTGTAGCAGGCAGCCCTGAAGCCTCCCCAATATGTATTAGGGAACTTTATTGTCTTAGCAGTGTGGAGCAGGGTGAGAGGGAGTGATGGGACATAAACAAATAAGCCTCTTAAGCAGGTCAGTGTATCTAATGCATACCTTACAACTTTAGCTCAGTGCACAGTGCTCTTTTTTCACTGCCCCATCCTGTCTCTTAGATATTTATCATGGCTTCCAAACGAAGTGCAGATGATGCTGGTGAAGCAAGAAGATTAAGTGTGATACTATGCCTATCTTGAAAAAACTGGAGGTAATTGAGATGCTGAAGGGCAGTACATGTATCCTGGAGACAACACGAGTGTTTGACGTTAGAGAATCAACAATTTAATCAATTTGAGACAATGAAACAAAGATAAGGGCTTGTGCAATGAGTAACCCTCACAAAGAACAAGGAATAGGTCCACAGCCACCCCTCTCCACTCACTTCAACATGTTAAGCATCCTGAACTTAACTTGAAGGTAACATATAATACATGTCTTTCTTTCAACACACCGGCCGTATCCCACCGAGGCGGGGTGGCCCAAAAGGAAAAACGAAAGTTTCTCCTTTTTCTTTCTTTCTTTCTTTCAACACACCAGCTGTATCCCACCGAGGCGGGGTGGCCCAAAAGAAAAACGGAAGTTTCTCCTTTCAAATTTAGTAATATATACAGGAGAAGAGGTTACTAGCCCCTTGCTCCCGGCATTTTAGTCGCCTCTTACAACATGCATGGCTTAAGGAGGAAGAATTCTGTTCCACTTCCCCATGGAGATATGAGGAAATAAACAAGAATAAGAACTAGAAAGAAAATAGAAGAAAACCCAGAGGGGTGTGTATATATGTGCTTGTACATGTATGTGTAGTGTGACCTAAGTGTAAGTAGAAGTAGCAAGACATACCTGAAATCTTGCATGTTCATGAGACAGAAAAAAGGACACCAGCAATCCTACCATCATGTAAAACAATTACAGGCTTTCGTTTTACACTCACTTGGCAGGACAGTAGTACCTCCCTGGGCGGTTGCTGTCTACCAACCTACTACCTATGGACATATAATACATGTATACAGTATTAATGTAGCCATTTGTTAGCTAATGTGCTTTCTTTTAATGTCTGAACCTCACTACAGTTATGGTATTTCACAAAGCATCATCACTGCCACTGTTCAGTAAGAAAAACTATTATTTTTATGATATTCAAGAAATTATTTATAGCTCTCTCAAAGGTTTGAAGAACATAACCCTATTTTTTCAAATACATTTTTCAGTCTATAAATCATAGAAATCATTTGTAGCTCAGTTTTCAGGAACAAAACAAGTGAAAATTATGATCTTCCACTGTATTAAATTTTTGGAAGGGCAGAGGCCCTCCTACCTCCTCCCATTGTCTGTTTTATGGGTTTTTATTAGGTCTGCTTCAATTATTGGGATGACCTAAACAATGATCAACCATTCTTAGTGTTATATTTGACTGGCTGATAAATGTAGCAAAGCTTTGATTTTTTGTGTGATGATGCATTCAAAATGAAGGGCAAGTGTTATGTAAGAAAGACCTAAAGACATGATTAATGAACAAAGGAAAGGTTGCTTTAGTGGTTGAAATGTCTACAGCATCTATTTTAGACTTTTTAAATTGGAAATTGATTTTTGTGTAGAGTTGGCTAAATTACTGATTTCAGGGCACATTATGTGGTACTTTTGATAACTGAATGGCAATTTTTATGTTCTTAATTGATAGAATAGATGGTATAATAGCAAAATAACCAGAAATTGGGTCATTTTGAGCCATGTAACTGGCCTAAAATAGGCCTCAAAGTGGGAGAAATCAGCGAGGAGTAAATTGTGCCAACTGCCAACTTAGTGCCTGTATATTTCTGTAAGTTTTCCATCAAATTTTGCATTTTTTAGTGTCATTACCTTCAGAAAAGGACTCTCCACCATTTTAGAAGTTTCTTGAAAAATTGCAACACTGACAGCAGTTCTAATATCAGAGGTCGTGACAGTAGCAGCTCTGCTTAAATGTAGTCCCAATATCATGATATTAGTAGTTTACTGCAATACCTCTACTATGAATATTCCAACTTGGTCACAAATCTGCTATATGACTGGAAACCATTAAAAACTTTTTCTGTAATACTGAGTTGATTGAGCAGCAGGTGGAGGTGCATGGTGTGGAGGAGGCCCAGGTGGATGAGAAGGAGGGGCTTGTGGTGGTGGTGTAGACCACTGACTAGCTGTTGTATACTGCCCCTCATATTGAGGACGACTCCCATATGTTGTTGGAGGTGGGACAGTTGGAGCTACATTTGAGTATGGGGGTGGTGGGACAGTGGGGTTTGGAGGAGGTGGTGCTGCAGGGTTTGGTGGGTATGTATACTGAGCTGGCTGACTGCTGTATGGTGTAGTGAAGGATGAGGAATATGGAGAAGGCTGTGAATGGGTTGGAGGAGGCTGTGGGTGGGCTGGAGGTGGACTTGTGAATGTATGAGTAGGTGGAGGATGTGTTGGTGGCAAGTGAGGGGGTGGATGAGTGGGTGTTGGACGAGATGGAGCAGAGTGCTGGAAAGATGAATGCTCAGGGGGATCCTGGAGCGGGACTGTAATAAGATTGGTTCGGGCTGTGGTCATAACAGGAATAACAGAAATGTGATGTGATGTTCCTTGGTGAGTGGAGGGTGATTGATGTGACTGTGAATGACCAGTGGCAAACTGTCCAGACCCTTGACGTGCAAACTGTGAAGCAGAATATGATTCACGGTGATCATAACCTTCCTTTCCAACCCTAGGGTCTGACATTGAACGTGGATCTTGCCTAACCTCCCCTCTTGGGTCCCCTCTTGATTCTCGACATTCACCTCTAGGGTCACGATGACTCAGACGTTCTTCTTTCATGTCTTCTTTAGGCACACCAGGAACTCCAGACATTTTCATATGTCGATGATCAATGTGAGCCTATGTAAAAATAATAGAAAATTATAAAATGTTATTGTTTATCAAAATAATAATAAAGTTCCTTTAATAAATCAAGATTAATTCTGTGATTTATTATCTGTGCTACCTACACTCATAAAGGAGCAAAAGCCATGTCACTTAATAAAGTAGCCTTTAACCCTTCCTCCTTACATACTAGTTCAGATGCACACTTTACATCTCATCATCCCTTTTCCTTATGGAAGTACAGAATACAAGCATAAGACCACTAGGTATGGGTATCATAATATTTAGAACAGGCTTTTATTGGGACTACATTTTGCTCAGGGTCACAATTAATGTATGTTCTGCATGCTGTGCCTTTATACCCATTTTCTTCATGACTGAAGTTTATTGAATTATCTCAATAATCTCATAAATTTACTTCATTGTTCAGTCTACATTTTTTTCCTTCTAAATCTAGAATGGTTCCTGTGTACATAAATAAATAGCACATAAATAAATAAAACAGCTTTACCTGAAGATCTCTCTGGGACAAGTATGTACGCTTGCAAACTGCCTTATTGATTGTGTAGTTGCACATAAATACTGTGCCTAAGCCAGTCTGCTCTACCCTAGCCACCCGCTCTCCACACCGAGCACACACTCGGTCTTCGCTTCGTGCACACCACAGACAAAATACATGTTTACATGGAATCTGCAAAATAATTTTTGTTACTTTCTCACAGAATCACCATAAAATATAGCCAAAATCTTTTTAAGAGAATGATGCACAATGGCTTCTAACTGATAATTTTTTTATGATTCCATACCAACATTATATTGAAAAATACAATCTTCAAACAGATAAAAACAAGTATGATTTTTATATTACTTGTGTAAAACAAATAGAGAAGGGATATTGCTACAAAGAGTAACTGTCTTACCATTCGTCCATAGATAAGAATTGGTTTGTTACATGCATCACAAATGTGGATCCGAGGAGAAAGTACTTTTTCGCCAATCAAATTAACTGGGTGATCCCAAGATAATCGAAGCATAGGAGCAGGTGGGCCACGGTCTAAAGTTGTGAAGGTGGGAGCCTCCAGTGATGAGATGTCACAGTCTTGATCAACTGCAAAGATGATGGATTAATAGGAAACATCTTATCTTACCAATGTTGTTTTATATAGAATTACAACAAAGTAGTATATCTCACAACAACCAAAAAACAAATCTAGTTCTATAGTTTTGAGTAATAATATCTTTTAGATTACCAGATATAGTGTATTTCAAAAATTTACACTAGCAAGATATTTAGTAATAGGAATGTGTCAAAAATAAGGGCAAAAACAGCTAAGAGAGAAGATCTGTCATATTGTGTTGCAAATGAGAAACAGTTTAGTCAAAATGCACCTGAAGCTGCAGCCAATCTTCAAATCTACAAAGGATTACAGGAAGAATAAAAGATAAAAAATATTTAAAGGAGAGTTTTTTTATTATGTATGATGAAACATGTCTTAAATAAAAAAAATCCTATAACAATTAAAAATATGAAGTCCTGTTGTTTTTGCACAATTCTCTCCAGTGACAATCAGGTAATGTATATCACATTTCCATGCCAACCCAGTAAAATAAAAAAAATTGAACAAAAGTGAATCGTGTACCAAAAAATAGTCTATTATATGTAGGAACTTTCAAAGTGATTCAACTACAGGTGCAACACTGATTTACTGGCAATGGATGGTCCATCACCTCGTTTAGTCCAGAGAAAATTTTCAGGCTACTTTTTTTGCCAGATTAATGTACTGGGAAACCTCAGATATAAGTGAGTGTACATAGTACACTCACTTATATTGTTTACAATACAGCTGTTGAGTAGTTGGTGATCCCTCGATTTTGTGCAGTTCTTAGCATATTTTTCTAACAATTAACCCTAGCCATGGCCAGGGTTAATAGGTATACAAGTAATTTGTCAACTGCTATGTGCCCCATGGCCTGGTGGCTAAAGCTCTCGCTTCACATGGTGAGGGTCTGAGTTTGATTCCCGGTGAGGAGAGAAACATTGGGTGTGTTTCCTTACACTGGTTGTCTATGTTCCCCATAAGTAAAATGAGTACCTGGGTGTTAGTCAACTGGTGTAGGTAGCATCCTGGGACAAAACTGACCTAATTTGCCTGAAATGCTCTGCATAACAAGCGGCTTTCTATATAGTAGTACGTCATTAATGTCAGCTAGGCCTATGTACCTTGTACATGTATTTGTAGAAATAAAGATACATGTATATTATTACATATTATTATTGTAAGTTAACTGAGCTGTCAGGTGAATAATCAAAGACCAAGAACAATGTTCCTTTGTAGCAGAGCAAGAGCTAATAAATTTTTATTTGATGCATGAAAAATTATACAGGGAAAGTTCAAAACACATGAAATGACTTCATTTTGAAAAAAATATTTAAAAAGATAGCCATGAAAAATGTATCATAGCAATAGGCCTTCAGTTGAAAATCCTGTGCCCTCAAGTGCCCTGTACATCCTTGTAACATCACAGATCCATGATGAAACAGTCAACTATGAAACAGACAGTAATCGTGACAACCCTCAACTTCCGGACCTATGCGATTAGCTCCACAGTTCTGGTAAATTCTAAAATTTGCCATTTTGTTAGCAATAGTACTGCACCATTCTTTGTAAGCACAGTAATTAATAAACATGTTTCATTTATAATGTTTAAGTTTCCATGAGACCATGGTGGGTCAAAAGCATATTTTTTAATTATTATTATGTGACCTCCATTGGTCTAGCAAAATCGATATGTCAGCAAGACCTAGGAACCAACTGTGCTGGTAAATTGGTGTTGTACCTGTATTAGTATTGGTTAGGTAGACTTACATTGTTTTGCCTTTGGTGGTTCATTCTCCTTTGGTGTTGGCTCCTCATCCTCCTCTTCACTCTCTATCTGTCAACGATCAAAAATAAGAGTGACAAATTATTTAAAAACCACAAACTTATGTATACTACAAGGAAACTTATATCATTACTTAAATAATTCATAACAATGAAAGTTAAAGACACTGTATAAACAAAGTACCTCTTTGGTAAAAATTTATACATCATCAATATAAGCATTTCTTTGTGCCTTTAAATGACATATTTTTAAAAGCTCTAGCAGAACATTTATTTATGCTGTATATATGTGACAAGGCTTATTTCAACAATAAAATTTTCTTTCTGTATTAGATAAGGAAGTGTCTAACTGGACCAGCAGGAAGTTGACTGGCAGCTATGTATTAAACAGTATATTAAAGGCTACTGAATGAAAGCTGGGTAATAACCAATTTGTTAGTTAAGTTAGGTTAAGTAAACCTTTGAACAGTAACATATAAAGTATATAACCACACACAAGTAAACTGAAAATAAATGACCACAACATATATGGCAATGAAGTACTCCTCCAGCAGCTGCTAACTCAATATCTGTTGGTTTCAGCAACCAACTGCCCATCTAATATCCTTGATCATATGTTAATTAATACACTAATGAATCTTTTGAACCCTTATTGGTACCAAACATTATAAAAATAATTTTCAGGAACAGTGTAACTCCTCACCATATTCCTTTTCTTAACTCGTAATCCTCTTGGTGGGGCCTTTGCTCTGCCTCTTGGCCGGCCCCTCCCTCGGCCACGGCCTCTACGTCGCCGCTCTTCATACTCTTTACCTGAGACAGATACTGAACTGTAATCACATAAAAAAAGAATGTTTCCCAAGCTGATGACTGATATAATAGCAGTTAAAATCCATCAAAATTGAGTAAATTATAGAAGAAATAAGTATTTTGTATGAGTACGTATCATGATTTGATCATTATACACAAACATCCTTAATACAGTGGACCCCCGCATAACGATTACCTCCGAATGCGACCAATTATGTAAGTGTATTTATGTAAGTGCGTTTGTATGTGTATGTTTGGGGGTCTGAAATGGACTAATCTACTTCACAATATTCCTTATGGGAACAAATTCGGTCAGTACTGGCACCTGAACATACTTCTGGAGTGAAAAAATATCGTTAACCGGGGGTCCACTGTACTTTTAAATGACAACCTTCATACCACAAACGTAAGAGTAACATTTATATACCAAGCTAAGAATTACAGAGTCTAAATTTGCTATGCTGTAGCCTACACCCACTCAACCTCTCATACACCTGTGAGGGCAGAATGAAGGCTAAGATCATTTTACTGGTGAGTGTTAATTCACTGGCATTACATAAAAGTAAAAAAAAACAGGCTGAATAATAAATTAAATAAGAAATTTCTGATGTTACAAAATTTCTGAGAAACCAGCTAGTCAGATTTAAAGGTCCTGGAAGAGGAAAGTACAATGCCTGCACTTCAAAATTAGGAGTGGGGATGCCACAATTTGGAGAAGTGACAAATGCAGCTCAAATGAACTCGAACTCTCTAGAGAGCCATGGAATTAGGAGAGACATGAAGGAAGTGTATAAATGAAATAACAGGAACAAACAACGGGGATATAAACAGTGTGACTATAACTATGGTATACAATGCTGACAAGTTGCTAAGTGAGACAATTAACTTCTCATTACTGCACACCATAATTATATTTGCACTGTAACACAATGATATCTAGGTACAAAGGACATCTTTGACAAATTATTGCCTAACCGTTAGTTAAAGAGTCAGAACGGTTGGATCTGAGAGGACCCTGCTTAATATGGGCCAGTAGGTTTGCTTGATACAGTACCTCTCACTCTTACATTCTTGCTTTTACTAGTGGGCCACACCTCTTCTGTTATCTTCAAGATTTCCTGCATCTCACATTTAGTGGTATATAAGTCCCCATTTTCATGCTTCGACTTAACATTGTTTCAGATTACGGAGCTGAGTTCTTCTCCAGGCTGAGGGACTGACCACCTCAAAACTACTTCATCGAAGGTGATGGGCTAATTGTATCATCATTACACCACTGATTCTGCTGCCTCCTGCAGTCAACTGAAGAAGCCTCCCATATAGGCAAAACGTTTCAGAATAAAGATACCTAATTGCTGCATATGTGTCTTACTTAATAATAATTTTATTTCAGCATGATACAATGTTTGTACAAAGGAGAATAACATTTGGGTGTACATGCCGAAAGCCCCTTAAAAAAAAAAAAATATGCAGAGTATTCCGGGCAAAAATAGCATAATAAAAATAACCAAGACATGACTTGCAGCAATGAATTCAAGTTGGAGAAATTTAGATTTAGAAAGGTTATAGGGAAGTATTGGTTTGGCAATGGCGCTGTTGATGAGTGGAACTGTGGAAAGCTTTAAATATAGGTTGGATGGGTACATGACTGGATAGGTGTGAAAAGGATTTGCCTAGCAAGAGCTAGTAGACCTAATGCAGTGTCCCATCCTTCTTATGGTCTAACTTTAATCTTATCGACCCAAAAACTTTTAAAGCCGGGAAGACAGATCAAGGTAACTATGATTAGCGATATTAATATCACAATATCTTCAGAATGTGAGTTGTCCTCTCGTTACACTCGTGCTAGAGGTATAAAAAATGTACAATACAACTTATTCCTTGCCTTTTGTTTCCATGGGCATTGTTAAAACGTTGTTGACGAGAGTCGTCACGTCAGAAGCACAACCAACGCTGCTCACACTCTTTAATACGGCTCATGTAATGTAGCAACTAACAGGTTTATTTCTTAAATTAACAAGTTAATAAATTTCTTTTGGTTGTTTTGGTATCTTGTATATATCAAATAAGTTATTTTAAAGATATTAACAATGTTACATTGCTAAACGTGTTTGAAAATTTTAAAATATATATTTAATAGCACGGATATAATATTCATCTCCATCTCGCACTCACATTCATATTACATTCGTAAAATATGTAAATTATAAAACTAGGTCACTCATCTTTAATTTATGAACCCAGTTACTATTTATTCATTATCTGTAAATATATTTATATATGTATGTGTAAGAACGCCAAAAAATCATTAATATATAGGTTGAATTATGTCAGCGGCCTAAAAATGTTTCATACGTAAATTACGTGAAATAAACGTGATTACATGTATGATTACATTAGTGGTAGTTTAAGTGTGCTTCTTAGATATAAATGAGGTGAAGTTAAGAGAGGACAAGAGTAGATGTAAGGGAGAAGTGGAGGAAGTAAGGACAGTGTCAAGGTCACAGACGTCACCAGAACTGCCGTCACTTTTCCCGACAGTGAGTACTCGACTCTTATTTTTTCGTCATTTGACTAAAATGAATCGTGTCTGTCATTCAACTGGTCAGCGACATCGTAGGTAAATCGTGACTGGTAACGAGATGGTGGGAGTGGTAATGGCAAGTGGTAACTGACAAGCAAAAGGAGGGAGACGTAGTACGGGTACACACGGGGGAGAAGCCTTATTATGGGAAGCAGGTGAATGAACGTTCACTCACTCACTCACTCTCTCTTACTCACGCTGACAACTTCTGGATTATGATTAAAAATGTAGCCATTTTTTTTCTAATACAATATACTTCGGAAAGGCTTCAGAATCTTAGTATAACTGGGAGGGGGAGGCAGTGCTACTTTCTGCCTGCCTCTGCATTATTTCCTTGATACATGCAAATTACAAATTATATACGAAAGCTTTATGAAGGGTTATAATAATTTGTCGCCGCTATGACCATAATATTCTTGTGTTTAATTCAGTCATTGTAGTAACCTTTAAACATCCAAGAAATGCTGTATAAATATGTTTAATAACTCCATATTATTATTACATTCATGAGGGAATGAGAGGCAATCAGATCCAAGGAAAAGGATAGTAGCTCCAGTTCTTTGGATCAAGAGCCCTTACCTGCATTAACGTATCTTCCTTGAAGAAAAAAAAAAACACCATAACTGTTGTAAGTAATATCCTGACCAAAATTTCAGTGTGTAAAAAAATGGCCTGCTGCAAGTGGTCAACTGTTTTAGATTGAGATTATTTGTAATCACTCCATTACAAAGTATACAACAATCAGAAAGCCAGTAGGATGTACAGTATTGGGTGAAATATATACACACACTACAGTGTATCTAATAATGTTGAAAACTATGAAAAATCTTATATATTTAGCCCAAATATATCATATCTTATGGATTTAAACCGTACAGACTGTAGACTACATGTATAAAATCAGTTCATCTTTTTTTTTTTTTTTTGTATATTACAGTAAATATTGGAAGGCATTATTCAAAATCCTCATGCTGTCTGTTTTTAACCAGGTAGTCTTAGATACTGAGTACCCAATAATAATACTGGATTCTCTGTTATTTAATGTAGTTTAGTTTTCTTCTTTAATGTAAGCTATGTACAAATGTAATTACTATATAGTACATACAGTATAAGTATTTATAGTTTGAATTCTGCCATTACATGCTATTACATACATATTATACATAATTATCATAGACACATGAGAGTGACATTTTATGATGACTTAACCTAGGATATATCTAGTCCCTAAAATTTTTCATATGGATTTAAATCCATGTTTGTTCCAGACCACATGTAAATACTTGTAGTGTAGTTGATTTTGACAGCAAGGTACTGAGAGTACATTAGCTGTAATCTCACACATTAGTCATTCAGATCATTAATATAGGGCTCAAGAAAGGCAGTCAGTCTCATAAAGCACTTGATTATGCTGTTAATGTGACCCCCCTCATGAGGATTTGAGAAATACACAGTAATATAAAAAGTTACAAATAGATATATTATTACTTTTCAGTGGTATTATATAAAATAATGTTTTTTAATAATACAAATTCTGTTTTTGCATATTTATAATTGGCATTCCACTGCTAAACTTGTATGTACAGTATTGTACATTCATTTAAAGTCTTGCAGTCTCTTCAAGAAGTGATGCCATGATATTAGTGAACTGTTCTTTATCCAAGGAAATGAAGCTATTCCCAGCTTGAATCAAACCTAATTATCCCACTCCTCCCATTCCCTAGGCACCATATGACTATCAGGTTCAGTGTTTCCACATGAATATAATAATATACTCCTGCCTTATTATTCTAGCACTCTCTTGAAGATAACAAAAATACTGAATCAATAAAGATACCCAAGTGTTGCTATATATATGTGTCTTATGCATCAGTTGCTGATACTGTATACCATCAATAACACAAGTACATGTACTGAATGATGATCAGTAAAGATACCCAATTATTGCATATGTGTCTGATTCATCAACTTCTTGGTATTGTATACCATCAGTAATACAAGAACTGAATGATGCAGTTTTGCAATAAGAACTAAATAAAGAAATTTTGTGGAAATTGTTTTAGTGTGGTTCCCCCTCCCCCACATACATGCAGTTGATGATACTTGTAGGAATCACCACATTGAATTGTAAATTGACTTCCTGAGCATTTGGCATGACCAATCACAAGTCCTTAGAAGTGCGGTATGTTTAGAGTGATGCAGTGCCAATTATGACTACAGTATGTCAAAAAAAAAAGAATATGCTATATCAATAGTGATATTGTTTAGAATTATCAGTTTAAAATAATATTCTGTATCTATTTATAAGTTTTTTTTCTATTTGTGGCTGTGAATGGTATTAAAAATAGTCCTCATTGTTGCCTATTATTCACATTAACAGCATACAAAAGCCATCTAAAATTCAGTTTACTGTTCATTGTGGTAATGTTTGATACTTTACATTATTTATTATTATTATTATTATTATTTTATTATTAATACATACCAGTATTTATGTGAAGCACTAAATCAGTTTGGGTCATTAGCTCAAGAAGTGATGGAGGCTTTTTTCTGTGTCTGACCACCCAGGCTGTTAGTGTTTGTTGCACACTGTAGTTACATTGTTGTATCGAACTTCTCAAAAACAGTATGATTCAACAGAGCAGGTCCCCTCGTATCATCAACACTTGCATCAGCTGATTTTAGGAAAAACTAAGAAAGAATTTGTGGCAAGTGTTTCATAGGAATGTGATTATTATATCAGGACAACATAAGGAATGTGTGCTTTTCAAATTGTGATCACTTGCATTGTTATAGCCCCTTGACTGGTAGTGTTGTGATGGTGTGATAGACCCCAGCTGGTGATGGTGTGGTGCACCTCAGCTGGTGATTGTGTGGTAGATTTTAGGTGGTGATTGTGTGGTAGACTTCAGGTGGTAATGAAGTGTTAACTTCAGGTGGTGATGGTGTGGTAGATTTCAGGTGGTGATGGTGTATTAGACTTCAGGTTGTGATGGTGTATTAGACTTCAGGTGGTGATGGTATGGTAGACTTCAGGCAGTGAAGGTGTGGTAGATTTCAGCTGGTCATGGTGTGGTAGACTTCAGGTGGTTATGATGTGGTAGGTCATGGTGTGGTACACCTCAGCTGATGATTGTGTGGTAGACTTCAGCTGGTCATGGTGTGGTAGACTTCAGCTGGTGATGGTACAGTAGACTTCATCTGGCGATGGTGTGGTAGACTTCAGTTGGTGATGGTACAGTAAACTTTAGCTGATGGTATGGCAGCACTCAGATGGTGATGGTGTGGCAGCACTCAGCTGGTGATGGTGTGGCAGCACTCAGCTGGTGATGGTGTGGCAGCACTCAGCTGGTGATGGTGTGGCAGCACTCAGCTGGTGATGGTGTGGCAGCACTCAGCTGGTGATGGTGTGGCAGCACTCAGCTGGTGATGGTGTGGCAGCACTTAGCTGGTATGATGTGTGGGGATTGGCAGCACTCAGCTGGTGATGGTGTGGCAGCACTCAGCTGGTGATGGTGTGGCAGCACTCAGCTGGTGATGGTGTGGCAGCACTCAGCTGGTGATGGTGTGACAGTTAAGTGTCGGAGAGTGTGGTTGATCACCAGTTTTTCTTGGGTTGTGCTTGTGCTAATGTTAGTGTGGCTACTGATGGAGTGTGGCGCCGACGAGGGGGGACAAGGGGAAAGTGAGAGGGATCACACAACAGGAGCCAGCTCTCTTAGAGGGGAAACTCCAAAGAGAGAGCTCCATTAGAGGAGCTCCAAGGAGGGAGCTTCCTTAGAGAAGGAAATGCAGGGAGAGAGCTGTCTTAGAGAAGGAGATGCAGGAAGAGAGCTGTCTTAGAGGAGGTGCAGGGAGAAAGTTCTCTTAGAGGAGGTGCAGGGAGAGAGCTGTCTTAGAGGAGGAGGAGGCGCAGGGAGAGAGCTCTCTTAGAGAAGGAGATGCAGGGAGAGAGCTGTCTTAGAGGAGGTGCAGGGAGAAAGTTCTCTTAGAGGAGGTGCAGGGAGAGAGCTCTCTTAGAGGAGGAGGAGGCGCAGGGAGAGAGCTCTCACCATTGTCATCATTATCATCATCAGGAGGGAGCGCCTGTAGAGGAAAACTTGCAGTAGGAAAGTCCCTGGCCTTTGGTTGGTTTATTATATTTAAACCCTATCTGCTACACGAGAATAATTAAAATTGCGTATAACCAGTACACCACCATTCAAGGTTAATTTAGTCCCTAGAAAAAAGGATTATAATACATTCATCGTATATTCGCTGAGATACTCACCTCTTGGTGTATATACACTG